TCTGTGTGCATGTCGTGTGTGGCTCTGCATCTGTGTGCCTGTCGTGTGTGGCTCTGCATCTGTGTGCCTGTCGTGTGTGGCTGTGCATCTGTGTGCGTGTCGTGTGTGGCTCTGCATCTGTGTGCCTGTGTATGGTGGTGCGTGCTGCTCTGGGGACGTATCTGCAGGTGCCCGTGGACGAGTGTGTGCATGCGCCCCCGAGGAGCAGAGTGGGTCTGTGTTCAGATGTCAGCAGGGGGTGACCCGCTTGCCTCTGCAGCTGAGCTGACGGCACATTCCCACGGGCTCCCCAGCCAGCCTCATCCGCCCTCACCACCATCCCTTTCCTCTCCACAGCCAAGACAAGTCAGACCCCGCTCCTGAAGCACAAGTGAGGTCCCATGGCAGTCTGTGTGCGGAGCCCCTGGACAATGACAAGGAACACACAGCTGACGCCCAGGCCTCTGACTCCTCCTTGGACTCCCACACGGAGACCCGGCATCAGCGCCGAGTCTCGAGCCCAAGCAAGCCGACAGGAAGCCCGTCACGGGCGGTGAACGGGCAGTCTCCGTCTCCAGTCAGCCCAGGTTCCACTAACGCATCCCGGGGCCAGCTGGCCACCGGCTCAGTCAGCGGCTCCCAGATTCCCAGCAAGGCCCGGGGCCATCACAGCCGGGGCAGTGTGTCTTCCAGGCCGGCACAGCGTACCCGGCTGCCCAGTACCTCCTTGGGGTCCTCTCAGCCGGCCATGCGCTCCGGGGGGTTCTTACAGTCAGGGGTCCGGACCGCAGGAACTTCTCGGACAGCAGGCCGTCACATGGGAGCCAACCAGCAGAACCCTCAGGCGTCAGCATCGGCTCAGCCGAGCGGCCGGTCAGCAGCAGCCACGGCAGCATCCGCACCCACCTCCACACAGCGCGTCAGCGTCTCCAACCAGGGCTCGCCCAGGGCGCGGTCGCCCAGCCCGTCCCCTGATCACAACCAGGCCGGCAGCGATCCAGGGGATGCGGGTTCCAAGAACAACAAGCAGGGGCAGAAGGGCCAGGCCTCGGAGCTGGCCGGCAGCAGCTCGGTGCCCGAGCTGGCCCCCCGTCACTCCGATTCCTCTCTGGAGTATATGTCCGAGTCCACCACGGAGATCACCTGTAAATGGCCGGGTTATAGTTACCAGCTGCGCTGCCCAAGGCACTGCTGGCTTTTACAGCACCTGGCGTACTAGGGCCGCGCCTGGACACCTGCCCACGGGAGCCACACAAAACCACTAGACCACTGGAGCACCATATGAGAGCCACATCCAACACCCGTCCACGAGAGCCACAGTGAACATCTGCCCACCTACGGAACAAAAGCAAACATCTGCCCACGCCACCATGTGAAACACCCAGCCGCTGGGCCCCTACATGTAAAACCTGCCCATGGATTCCATGTGAAACATCTTCCATGGGAGCCCCACATGAAACACCACTGCAGTAGCACATGAAACACCATCTGGGGTCCCACGTGTAACACCTATCCTCCAAGGCACGCAATAAAGTCACCGGCTCAGGCTCCCGAGTGTGTCCGCTCAGCTGCTGGGCGGGGCTATCGGGAATTAACACCAACCACGTGGTCAGGCCCGAGGAAACAGAGGCAGGGGAAGGCAAAGTCACCTACCTTGAGTCCTGCCAAAGGTGCCAAGGCATGCGCAAGCCCAGGCAGAAAACACGTGTGTCCCTCCCTGAGACAGCATTTTGGTGTGTAGCTCAGGCTGGCCAGGAACATACAGTCTCCCGCCTCAGCCACCCAAGTTCTGAGCCACCCTGCACGGGAAAAATAGTGTTAGCATTCACTCCCGATAGGGCATCCACGGGCCAAAGACACGCCATGAGCCGGTCCAGCTGGGAGTGGAGGCTCACCCCAGCCAGAGTGACCAGTCCCTCCCTGTTACTGTTCCTAAGACCAGAAAGGTTTCTCGTGGTTTTCTAAGATTTCTAATTGTTTTGTTTTGTTTTGTTTTTGAGACAGGGTTTCTCTTCGTAGCTTTGCGCATTTCCTGGATCTTGCTCTGTAGACCAGGCTGGCCTTGAACTCACAAAGATCCTCCTGCCTTTGCCTTCCGAGTGCTGGGATTTAAGGCGTGCGCCACCAACGCCCGGCTAAGATTTCTAATTGTTATATTTGTCTGTGTTGGTCTGTGCATGAGGTGCCCAGATGCCAGAGGTACCCGTTGCCGGTGTGAGCCACCAACATGTGTGCTGGGAAGGGAACTTGGGTCCTCTGTAACAGCGTCACACCTGGTCCTGTTCCCCCTCCTCCCTCCCAGGGAGAAATGTCAGTCCCCACAACAGTCACACCACACAGATCAATCACACCCCCCACACAACAACCCCGGTCATAGGCTGTGGCCAAATTGTCCCCTCATCTCAGAGGCAGAGGTGGAGACAATCCACATCCTGGGTTTGCTTGGAGAGGAGAGTGTCGAGGAGGTGACCACGTGAGAGAGCCGCTCTGACACCTGACTCTTCTGCCTCGCAGAGTGGGGGCTGGGATCGGTGTGGCACGGAGCCAAGTCCAGGCTAGTGCCCTGCAGACAGCCAGGCCACAGACCAAGACCTAGTCAGTGATTAGAATTTATTTTTCATAGTTCTGGGATGGAAACAAGGGATTCCTGAAGACTGGACCAGTGCTCCACTCCCTGACCACGGCCCCAGCCCCTCATTGGGGGATTCTGGGCGGAGCTCCACCCTGGCCACGCCCCCAGCCCCTCACTGGGGATTCTGGGCGGGGCTCCACCCTGACCACGCCCCAGCCCCTCACTGGGGATTCTGGGCGGGGCTCCACCCTGACCACGCCCCAACCCCTCATTGGGGGATTCTGGGCGGGGCTCCGCCCTGACCACGCCCCCTTTCACTGAGCTTGCCACCCCTACCTAGCCCTTGGAAAGGAATCTCCAGTAGAAACCACAGTGGGGTCAGCTATAAACCCTGACGGTTTATAGCTGTGGCCAAGTGGTTCCTAGGGTGACTTTGTCACGAACAGTACTGTGTAACTTAGTCTCTCCCTGCTCGGGATGTGTGGCCTCTATGCATCCAACACAATTTTAAAAAATGGAACAGCACAGAGCAGTCCACAGTTCCCCCCCACCCCCACCCCCCCGACCTCGGTGCATTCCAGTGGAGAAGGGGTAAGAACTTCGAGATGCTGGGCTCAGCGCATTCATTAGTTCAAGACCATCCCCTGCTACATAGGGAGTTTGAGACTAGCCTGGGCTACATGAGACCTGTTCAGTAGTGTTTGGGCTGGGTGAGGCATCACAGGTCTTTAATCCCAGCACTCAGGAGGCACAGGCAGGAGGATCTCCATGAGTCTGAGGCCAGCCTGGTCTACATAGCAGTTCCAGGACAGCCAGGGCTAGCTACACGGTGAGTTCCAGGCTAGCCTGGTTTACATATTAAGTCCTAAAGAAAGTAATAAAAATAAATTCAACCAAATCATCGCGGAAGTGAGGTCAGGAAGACTGTTTGCCAGGGGCAACGGGAGCTGCTGTCCAAAGGTCCCGGGGCAGAGGGCACGGCCTGTGCAAAGCCCTGGTGCAGGATGGGGCCTGGCATGTTGTCCCTGGATCAGAGTGGGTGGTGGCGGCGGGAGAGGGAGGGAGCCTGAGGGCAGAGGGACCCGCGGGAACGTGGAGCTCTGGGAGGACTTTGGCTTTTGCTCTGGAAGGATCCAGGGCAGTCATTGATTAACCTTCCCCAGTCCCGGTGACTGGCCCCCTGGGCACTAGAGATGGGCTGCAGCAGCTGGTTTGATCTGACCGTGTGGCCTGCGGTGAGGGGGTGGGTAGGGACAGCAGAGGGGGGCGCGGAATCCAGCTTGGGCATGGGGGGGGCAGCAAGAGGGAACTGGCAAAAGCTCCTCCCATCTGTGGTGGGCCCCACCCACCCAGGGCAGCCAATGGGGAGGCAGTGGAAGGGAGGGGCCCTCCTGGCAAGGCCAGAAACCTCCCCCTGCCTGTTAAACTACATAAGAGCCAGGTATGGGTTAGGATAGGATGGGGGACATCCTCAGCTGCATAGTGACTTAGGGTCTAGCCTGGGCTATGTGAGGCCTTACTGACGGGAAGTCATGGATTTGGCAGGGCTGGCCATCAGCCCAGGGATGCTCTGCCCAGCTGTGCGCACATCGCCTGAGGATTTGAACTCAAGCCCTCCCGCTTACGGAGCAACACTTTACCAACGGAGCCACAGCCTCAGGCCCCTCCGCCTATCTTTATTTTGAGACAGGGTCTTCCTTAAGTTTCCCAGGTGGCCCTGATGTTCACCCTGCCTCCATTCCCCGCTGGGGTCACAGGTCTGGGCCAGCAAGGTGTCTCCCTGTGGTTATTCCAGTTACTGACGACCCCCAGTGTTTTCACGTGAAAACACCCCCCTTTATTGGTCACCACAAAGAGCCACATCTGAGGTGAACGGCATTCTGGGGGACAGCCACCTGTCTGTCACTGGAGCTGGCAGGCTGGGCGATGCCACGGTGCCCAGGGGAGCATCCGGCCTCACGCTCCCGGCTGGCCCAGCACGACCAGCCCCCTGAGCCTTCCTGCTACTTCTGGGTTACTCCTGTCATGTGCACTGGACTCAGCGCCGGGCCCTGGCCCGAGATGACCCTGGGTCACGTTGGGCAGCCATTATAGGTGAGTGTGAGGTCGCCATGGCCTGCTGGAGCTGTGCCCTGTAGACCATCTCCCACCCTGGGAATCGGTGGTCCAGCCACGAGGGGGCGCTAGGACCCCGGAGATCCCTGTAGACCCCAGCTGCACGTGGTGTGGGATTTGGGGGAGATTCTTGGTGCCCTCTACACCCCAGTGCCATAAAAGACCCATTAAACAAATGACCCAGCCGGGTGGTGGTGGCGCACGCCTTTAATCCCAGCACTCAGGAGGCAGAGCCAGGCGGATCTCTGTGAGTTCGAGGCCAGCCTGGTCTACAGAGTGAGTTCCAGGAAAGGCGCAAAGCTACACAGGGAAACCCTGTCTCGAAAAACAAAACAAAACAAAAAACAAATGACCCCTGCTTATCTCAGAACAGCACTATGCCTCCCCAGGACTTGCTGGGTCTCCCGCTACAGTCAGTGCTCAATAAATGTTCGTAGACAGAGCTAACAGATGGGGAAACTGAGGCCTTTGGAAGGGCGAGGCGACGGGTCAGAGCCAGAGGGGGTCTTGTGGAGGATCGAGGCAAGGCTGACAGTCCGCTGGCCTCTGGATCCCAGTCCTGGATGTCACTGAGGACAGGTTAGACCATATGACTGAGGCAGGACCCAGAGAGGGACACCCCACTGGGGACGGCTTGTTGAGAGACCCATGATGTACAGACACTGAAATGAACCGACAGCCTGGACAGAGCCCAGGTCAGGAGGCACACCGATTCTCTGTGTGTCCCCAAAGTCTCACACCTCTGTGCTGGTCTCACGTGGACCCAGTACCCTGGGAGGGGGTGTCAGGAAAAGACAGTAATTTGGGGTGTGTCTGAGCTGCCTCTGCTAGGGCGTCCCTGAGCCTAGAGAGCTGACGAGCGGCGGGGAAGGGCCTTGTTCTTTTTCCGAGTTCTTGTACTCGGAATTAAATAGTAATTTTAAAAGGGACGGGCCAAAGTCGTTTGGTGGAAAGGTAGCCCGGCAGCGCAGGCCTTTAGTCCCAGCACTGGGGAGGCCGAGGCAGGCGGATCTCTGTGATTCAAGACCAGCCGGGTCTACGCAGAGAGTTCCACGCCAGCCAAGGTTACAAACACAGTGTCTGGAAATATCCTGGCGGGAGATTTTTCTGAGTCACCCGACACCAGAAGCAGCAGCTGGTGGGCTCGTAGGGCGGGAGGTTTAGACTGGACAGCGCCGAGCAGCCAGGCGAACTCGGCTGTCCTCCGCCGGACTCCAGAGCCGAGCATAGCCCGCGAAGGGCAGCAGCAGCCGGTCCTGTGTGCCATCGGGGCTGACCAGTCGCCTGACAGCCAGTAGGTACTCCCGATGGGGGGCCAGTGGTGGGCAGGGGCAGGGGCCTGGCGCCCACACATACTCTCGAGTGCGCAGCGGTGAGTGGTTTTTGTAGATGAACAGGACACGCACCTCATAGCGGGTCTCCTCGGCCTGCCGGTGGCGGCCCAGCACGCGGGCTTGGAACACTGCACGAAGGTGACACCGGGGGTCAGCTGAGGTCAACGGAGAGGGTCAGAGCAACTATCCAGGAGGAGTTAAGGGTCATCGGGGTCAGCAGAAGGGGCCGAAGGTCAGGGGTCTCACCAAAGTCGCTGCCGCAGTAATGCAGAAGCCGGTGTGCGCGACCCCTGCTGTCCGGGCATGGCCCGCAGGGGTCTACGGGGGAGGGGGTGTTGTCATGAGTGACACGGGCCTTACCCCTGCCTGATACCGCTTCCCCCACCCCACCCCCGCGCTGCCCTCGCCTCACCTGGGGTCAGGGATGCAATCCGGGCAGGGATGGCCTCGGGGACCGCAGGGGTGTCCGCAGGCTGAGCCTCCACCTCCCGAGGCTGAGGCTGTCGCAGGGGCCAGCCCAGGGCCTGCGCCTGCGCCTGGAAGGGACCGTAGCGCTCCCGGGGCAGCCAGAACTCGAAGTGCACGCCTGGATTGGGCTCCCGCAGCAGCACCTGGAGCGGGAGGGCGCGGGAGCTGGTGGCCCGCCCCGCCCCTCGGACCCCTGCCTCCCCATCTAACTGACCCCAGCGTCCCGCCTGTGTCCCAGGCTCCCGCCTCGAGCCGTCCACTCGGGCCCACCTGCAACAACAGCTCCTGGGAGGTGGGCCCGGCCGCCTGCAGAGTCTCCTCGGGGCCCGCCCCGCGGGTGTAGACCACGCGGGTGCCCGCAGCCTCATAGGTGCCAGGCGGGCTGGGCACCCCGTCCGCGCCGTTCAGCACGTAGCGCCCGTCGCGGGTCACCAGCGCTGCAAGAACCCAGTCAGCCTGCGCTCGCGGGAACCGCCTGCCCCCACACCCAGCCTCAGTTTCCCCAGACGCCCCGCAGTACCCAGGTGGTTGTGGCTGCGCTGGGCCACGCGGATGTGCCTGGCGCCTTCGGGGATCAGAGTCACGTTCCAGTAGCCGGCGAAGGCACCTGGGGCAGGCGGGAGGTTGGGGGTGTAGCACAGCAGGATTTTCTGGGATGCGCTGGTGTGCGCAGGTGGAGGGGTAGCGGTTTGCACTGGGACGCACGGGGGTGGGATGCTCTGGGGTACACAAGAGACGGATACTCGGGGTGCGCAGGGGAGGGATGCTCGGGGGTGCGCAGGGGAGGGATGCTCTGGGGTACACAAGAGACGGATACTCGGGGGTCCGCAGGGGAGGGATGCTCGGGG